AAACCAGCAAGTAATGATCAGATAAGAGGAAAGGAAGAAGGGCGGCATGGAGGAGGGGAGGTGGGAAGGAGGGGGGCAATTTGTGACCCTGTACATTTCTATTGTTGGATTTTTTTTTTTTTTTTTTGGTACCAGTGATTGAACCCAGGTATTCTTAACCACCAAGCTACAACCCAGTCCTTCTCTCTTTTTTTTATTTTGAGACTGGGTCTCTCTCCATTGCTTGGGGCCTCACTAAGTTGCAGAGACTGCTTTGAACTTGCAATTCTCCTGCCTCAGCCTCCTGAGTCGCTGGGATCGCAGGCGTGCTCCAGCAAGCCCAGCTGTTGTTGGATTTATACAAGAAGAATGTGTTTGTATCTATTTGGGTTCTTGAAACCATTTAAGTTTGCTTTTTAAAAATTCATAGAAAAAGCATGTTACCATTACCACTATTCTGATACGGGGCTCAGGGTAATTTTTCCAAAACTGCCTGATTCCTGACGCACCCTCTTGCAAGCAGTCATTTAGAACTCCATGTTATACATTTAATAAATTGGGCCCAGGGAGGTGAGATGAGCTACTCCAGGCCACAGGCAGGGCTGTGGGGGGAGGCACGGACTGAACCTTGACCCCCAAGGCCAGTGTTTTTTCTATCCAGAGCACATGACAGTCACCAAGGGTAAGGCCATGGCAGGGGGCCAGGAGGTACATCCTCTGRGCAGCTGCTCTGGAACCACACAGCCCAGCTCACAGGGCCTCCGAGAAGCCCCTGGGGTAGGGAGATGGGGCTTTGTCAGAGAAGAATGGAGTCAACGGTGAGTGGGGAGAGAACTGATGAGCCACCGCCCCCTTCAAAAATTAGACATCATGACGAGCCCACTGAGTGGGCTGGGGCTGCCACGTCATTCAGCAACCACACATGGGAAGGAGCCCCAGGGCCATGTCCCCAGCCTGAGACTCATGCCTCTGTCAGGAGGCTCACCCCCTGYGCTCAGCCCAGCTGCCTCTAGCTGCTGACTTCCTACACCCCCTGATWCTGCGATGAAAGGGGAACTGTGAATTCCGAGAGCGCGAGGACCTGAAGCACAAAGTAAACACAGGTGGAATGAGCTTCATCCAAAACACACGGGACCGAAGGGTTTCAGATTTTCAATGTTTTTTTCAGAGTGTGCAATATTTGCACATACACAATGAGGGATCTCAGRGATTCACTGGGTTTCACTTACACTTAATATATATGTAGCCTGAAGATCATTTTCTTCAATATTTTTAGGGCACCTGCGTTTTGACTACAACCCAACATGAGGTCAGGTGTGGAAYTTTCCTCCTGCAGAGTCAGGCAGGCTCTCAGAAATTCAAATTTCGGAGCATTTCAGATTTTAGATTTTGGGGATGAGGAATGCGCCTCCTGTGAAATCCAGCCCCCCGTGAGTTGTAAATGCCACCACCTCTCAGCTCTTTGATTGGCTGCGTTTGCTCTGGAGCGTGTGTGGAGGGGCCCAGGAAACCCAGCRAGGCCTCTCCAGGAACACCAGAAAGGCTTAGTGTTCAAGGATGGGCCCGAGGCTACTGAGGGGATCAAAGGACATGTGCACAAACCTTGGTTGCACAATGAGCAGGCATGACCACATGCCCAGAGAAGAGGCCTTGAGTAGCAGATCCCCCTCGAATCCTTACCATGGGAAGCAAACCTACAAAGCCATGGGCAGTGACCAGAGGTTGGATCCTGGGGCTTCTGATCCTGCACTGCCACTGATCAAGGTCTTAACCCTCTCTGAGTCTCAGTTTCTCCATCTGTAAAATGGGTGTTATTACACATGGCTCTCAAATATCATGATATCTGGACCGTGGGATATATACTAGTAATTTAATTAAATGAAACGTTAACAAGTGGCCCCGTGCAATGTTGCACACCTGTAATCCCAGCGACTTGGGAGGCTGAGGTATCGGGATCACAAGTTCAAGGCCAGCCTCAGCAACTTAGTGAAACTATCTCAAAATAAGAAAACTTAAAAGGACAGGGATATAGCTCAGTGGTAGAGTGCCCCTGGATTCAATCCACAGTACACCCCCAAATAAATTTAAAATATACATATCATAAGGGCTCATTTCAAGAATATCATAGGTATTACCTAATTTAATCTTTACAACAAGCCCATAAGATAGATTCTAGTATTATCTTCACTTTACAGAGGTAGAAACTAGGACTAGGAGTGAAGTGATTGGTCCACTGCCAGTGTCACATCAGAGTCTAACTTTCAGGCTGGTCTAGGCACTTAACCACCTGCTACACTAGTTATGTCCACAGGGAGGGCTAAGAAACCAGAGCAGCATACGGAGGCCAGGTGTCAGCACAGAGGAAGGGCTCAAGAATCTCAAGATCTTTCTGGTGTGGGTCTCTGGGAGGCAGAAACCAGGCCCTACTTAGTCATTACCTAGAACGGCAATGTGCAAAAAAGAGGTTGTCAGTAAATATTTGTGGAAAGTTAGGAGAATTGTTATGGCACTCATTAGCCAAAGGCTGGAATCCTGGTTTCCAAAAACTAGCCTAAGAAAGGCGCAGTGACACGCCTGCAGTTTCAGCCCTTGGAGGCTGAGGCTCTCTTGACCCCAGGAGTTCAAGACCAACTGAGGCGACGCAGGGAGCCCTCAGCTCAAAAAAGAAAAAGACAAAAGGGGGAAAAAGTCCAAGATAAGGTCAAAGGTTCTCCTGGAACCTCCTCCTCTCGGGCCACCTCTGGGGCGCAGACCCGGGAACCGGGGCGCAGGCCCCGCAGACCCGGGGAGGCAGGCCTACCTTCCTCGGCGTCGTTCCGCAGAGAGGCCTCCAGCAGCGCCACGCTGGCCTCGAAGGACACCTTCTTGCGGCGGCCCCCCGCGCTGCGCTTCCGCTCGTGCTTGCGCTTGCGGTGCTGCAGGTCCTGCTCGTACTGCGCCCACTTCTTCAGCTGCTGGGCCCGGCGCTTCTGGGCGGCACGCAGCCGCTCCAGCGTGGGCACCTTCTCCAGCAGCTGCAGCTCGGTCAGCAGGTCCACGTGGCTGGCCATGGCCACCGCGCCACCCAAGGGCCCGGCGGGCTAGCGCGGTGCGCCCAGGGCCGGCAGAGCACGGGGGCTCCGGAGGGGCTGGGGCCTCATGGTGGGACCTGCGGCAGGGAGACAGGGACATGCTCGTCAGACTCCCAAACTAAGATCTGATTATTAAATGACACCCTACCGCCCCACATTCAAACCCTTTTGAGATGTTCTTTCCATGGCTCCTGGGACAAAAATGCAAATCCTTAGCGTGGTCTGATTGTATTGCAGCTAGAGTCACTGTGGCTGCTCAGATTAAATCAATGAAAATAAAATAATTCAGTTCCTCGGTTGCACTAGTCATATTTTAAGTGAGCAATAGCCACATGCTTCCAGTGGCTATCATGCCAGATATCACAGAGAGAGCATTCTCCCATTATTCCAGAAAGTTCTATTGGATAGTGGTGGTTGTCTCCTCTCCAGTCACAACCATCTAACAAGAACCATGAATTTCYAGTTTTCTTATATGAAGTCATTGTACTTTAAGGATTCAGGTGTGTGGGTATTGGAAACAGGGTTGCCCACGGGCTCAGAACATAATGGGGGCTGCAGAACCCAGAAAATCTGGAGACTATGCAAGCACCCACATAGGAGCCAAGTCCCTAGAAATAGGAATATCTAGTACTTCTGCACAAGGCTCTTTTGTTTTGCTCATTATGGGATGCAAGKTGTTGTGGAGATAGGACAGGCAGGACCAGAAGGAAACCAGAGGATATAACTACTATTGAGGTGGTTCTTAAAATATGGCCTGGGAACACTATGGGAACATCCTGAGACCCTTTCAAACCATTCAGGATGTCAAAACTATTTGAGTAATTAGATTAAGCTGTTATTATTAACCTTCTGCACTCTCATTATCTCACAAACATACAGAGGTTCCTAAAGCCACATGACAGATGACGTGACAACAGATTAAATGTGGATATAGATTATATGAGACATTGCTAGAAGAACCACAAATTTCCTCCCCTGGGAAACAGTATGGAGATTTCTCAAAAAACTAGAAATGCAACCACAATATGACCCAGCTATCCCACTCCTTGGTATTTATCCAAAAGAACTCAAATCAGCCTACTCTAGCAATACAGCCACGTCAACATTTATAGCAGCACAATTCACAGTAGCCAAATTATGGAACCAGCCCAGGTGTCCATCAACAGATGAGTGGATTAAGAAAATGTGGTGTGTGTGTGTGTGTTCACTTTATATGTATATAAAATGAAGTTTTATTCAGTCATAGAGAACAATGAAATGATGGCATTTGCCAGTAAATGCATGGAACTAGGGAACATCAAGCTAAGTGAAATAAGCCAGACTCAGAAAATAAAGGGCGGGATGTTTTCCCTACTATGTGGAAGCTACAGCAAAATAAGGGGAGAGGAGAGGGGGCCGAGGATATCACAACGATATGATATAGTAGAATAGGAGGAGATTTTGGGGGAGGAGGAAGGACAGGAAAGGGGGGAAGTGCAGAATGGATTTAACAAAATCGTGTGATGTGCACGTGTAAATATACCACAGTCAATACCACTGTTACGTACATGTATAAAGCATTATTTAAAAACAAATAAATAAGTGAAAGGAAGCTCAGAGCAGAGCAGAGGAAGGAGAATAGTGGGTGGGAGGAGAGGAGGGAATGGGGAGGCCACGGGGACTGAAGTAAAGAAAAACAAATTCTGTGCATGTATGATTCTGTCAAAATRAACCCAACTATTATGTATAACTATAATGCTCTAAAAAAGGGGGAAATAAAGGTATAAGAATCCATCTACGAAGCCCAACATAGAGACAAAAGTTTTTRAACAATGCCACTTTACTCAGTAACTTTTTTTGTTTTGGAAAATAGTTAGTTTTTCATCAAAATGTTACRTATTGTTATATTTTTAGAACAGTCTAATAAAATATGTTGTAGGTTGTCATATTGTTATAACATATGACAGACTTATTATTTTAAAGGCCTTGATGCTATTTTTTAATTTCAGTATTTATTTATACTAGGATCAATATTGATGGATATGGTCCAGATAGATAAAAATTCTTCAGGATCCTCAATTTAAGGGAATCAAGTGGCCCTAAGATCAAAAAGTTTGATAAACTRTGAATTATTGGGACCTAGAAAATCCTACTTGAAATTTCCCTTTTTAAATAACTTTAAAAAGGAAGAAGAAAAAAAAAAAAAAGCACACYTCTTGCTCTCTTGAGTCCCAAACAACATAAGATCAGCAGAACCTCAGAGTCTGGACCCAGCTGTTCTGCATGGCAGCACAGACAGTGGTGAAAAGGGGTCTGAYGCGGAGAAAAGGGGTCTGAGGACAATCACCTGCACCTCTCTAAGCCTGCTTTCCCACCTGCCAAATGTTCTGTCACCTCCCAGAATGTTCAGGTGTTCAAGAAATAAAAAGAGCTGCCCCCAAATCTTATAGACCTAGTAGCAAAGAGAAAAGAGCTTGCAGGAAGAAGGGAGGGAGACGTGAGCACAGCAGGCCAGGCTGGCAGCGGCTGCTGGGCAACAGGCAGAGATGGGCACAGGTCTCCATCTGTGCAATGTGGAGGTGCCGCTATCTCAGAGAGGACAGGGACAGCCCAGGGTCCTTCCTCAGAAGGCTAAACACCGGAGTCCAGCTTCGGTCTGGACCTCGGGAGCTCGCAGTGGGTGAGATGGTTCTTTGGGTCTCTTCCAGTCCTAAGACTCATACCAGCAGATGGGACAGGGTAGCTTGGCAAGGCTCACGGGGCAAAGGTTTGAGGGGTCAGAGTGGATGTGACCTCAAGTATAAATAAGCCCATGGCAAGCTCAGCAGGAACAAGCCAGCCAGCTCTGGTTGCCTTTGGTTTGGTTTCCTTTGGATTTTTGTTTTGAACACCTTGCAGTCCTTCTTAAATGAATGAAATAAACTTTTTATTTGCCTAATCATAGCTTCACATGCAGTTGTAACAAATAACACAGAGAGATCCCAGTATGCTTGACTCAATTTATCTCAAAAACTACCGTGCGGTGTCACAGCCAGGAACCTGACATTGATCCAATCCACTGATCTCATTCAGATTTCCTCAGCTTACCCATACTTTTGCTAAAATATTTTTTTAGTTGTAGTTGGACACACTACCTTTATTTTATTTATTTACTTTGATGTGGTGCTGAGGATCGCACCCAGTGCCTCACACGTGCTCAGTGAGTGCTCTACCCCAGCCCCAACCCCAGCCCCTTACCCGTACTTGTTTGAACGGTGTGTTTCAACCCTGTTTATCCCCTTAGGGTGCAAACAGCTCCAGGGTTACAAGGATGTCTCTGTCGATCCCCCATCTCCTTTTCTAAGCATCCAACCCACTCCTGTCCCTGCTTGTGGCAATCACTAATCTGTTGTCCATCTCTATAATTTTGTCATTTCAAAATATATTACATAAATAGAAACAGCAGGTAGCCTTCAGGGGTCTGCTTCTTACACTCAGCACTACTTGTTTGAGATTCATTCAAGTTGTCGCATGTATTCATAGTTCACTTCCTTTGGTTGTTGAGTTGGATTCCACTTTAGGGATGGATATACCCTAATTTGTTTAACCATTCATCCCTTGAAGAACATCTGGGTTGTTTCCAGTTTGGGGCTCTTACATTCATGCACAGGGTTTTGAGTGAACAAGTTTTCATTTCCCCGGGGCACAGCTGTTGGGTCGTCTGGAAATTGCAAACTGAATTTAAAAAGAAACAGCCAAACTCCTCTTCAGAGGAATTTGTTCCCTCCAGYAATGTCTAAGAAATCTAGTTCCACAGCCAGTGTGCCATGTGGTCACTGGCTTGTATTTTAGCCATTTAGATTCATATTTTGTCTACTTTTTCAGATGGAATTCAAGTGTTCATTTCACCACTACACGGTATTATTAWAATGGTCAGACCCCACTGGAACCGAAGGGCCACTGGCTTATTCTGCCCCCATCTATCAATGAATCCATTTAGTCTTCCCAACAACCTAATGAAGTTGGTATCATTATCATGCCCATTTTCCAGATAAAACACAGAGAGATTAATTAATTTACCCAAAATCACACAACTAGGAAATGAAAGTGGCTGTGAGCCAGACTTAACCAAAAACACCCCGTGGTCCACATCCATCACACTTGTTGGTTGGCTTGGCTTTAGTCCACACCAGGTTCTGCAATATCTTAACTCATTGCTAACATTGAAAGCATGGAGATTTTATACCCAACAGCGGGGTTTCAGCATTTCTTAGAAACATTTCAATATCTGGTCATGCTGTGCTCACTTGGCAACCACCAACTGGGGCAGAGAGGGCTGCTCCCTTTAGAGCACACACCCTCTGATTCACCAAAGTCCCCAGGCTCCCTAATTCTCCCACTGACCTTRTCTATGACTTGTCATCAATTAGTAGCTCCTACAGTCCTCTGAGTCTGCAAATCCTGTCTTAGGCAGAATGACGGACTCCAAATAGCCAGAGCTCCAATTTACCCCAGAGAGGAAAGACAGCCTGAGAGTCTCCCCAGCACAGAACAGGACGAGGAGACAGGGAATGTACACCCCAAGAATAGACACTGGCCTCCAGAGCTGTCCAATGAGCCCTTCCCCCGGGTGCTCACGGTTCAACACAGCAGCTTTCTCAGGAGGTAGCAACTTCTCCCACACCCACGAAAGGATTAATTCCCATGGTATCAGGCAGACCTAAGTATTCTCTAAGATTTCTTTCAGCCTTGAAATTCTACACAGTTATTCATTTCTTCATCATGATTACTGATCACCAATGAGGTAGGAGGTCCTCAAAAACATGCCAAGCGTAAAGATAAGAAAAATCGAACCATTCATTCACACCGCTAAAGCACTTGACCCCTTTCAAAGACTTTCCCCAGCCATCATCTCAGACAAGTGCTTCCCTAAGAGTACAAAAGAATCTACCCCAAGAAAATTATCAAAAGCATGGGGATGAGAATCAGTATAATGTGGACTTCCCAGAACGCTGTGGGTTTTTGTTTGGTTGGTTGGTTTAGGCTTTGTTGTTGTTGTTATTGTTGTTGTTGTTGTTGGTTTTGCAGTAATGGGGATTGAACCCAGGAGATGTTGTAG